AATAATTGATCTACAATTAACACTAAAACTAATCATTATAATTAAAAAATATTTTCCCAAAATAAATTCCCCTTCCCACACTTTCGTATTTTCCGTAATTTCCCTCTATTCTCCGTAGCGGCAACATGGGAATCCAAGGAAGTTTGAAAATCTGCCGTTCATTAGATATAATATAGTTAAGGCATAATATAGTTATGTCCACATTAAGTGATGCCTCGCACCGAATCGCATCAATTTGCTTAACAGTCAACACTCAATCAAATATAGCAAATATGAGTGAATATAATTGATTCAACGGTTTAGTCAATCAACCAGTTTTGTGTTTCTTTCAATTTAAAATTGTAGACAAACTTTAAACCATTTTAAATCTAATCGACTTTTATTTCGAATATAATTGAATTAAATATATAAAGACTATTAAAATGATGTGAAAGAGTTGACACAATTACATAATTATTGCTACAATGGTCTGGACATCAAGTGATAGTTAACCCCATCGGTAGTGAGCGTAGGCTCTGTTGGCGTCACAGACGCGGTGGACGTCCTGTTTCTTTTTGACAACCTTTCCCTCGTTATAGAAGGCGTCGATCAGCTCTTTAGCCATCACTTCCGGGAAGAATGTCTTCCGAGGTTTGGGTCGATCTCTGACGGCGTGTATTATCCATCGCATCGCCATATCTTCGGATTCCTTCACTTTCAAAGGATAGGGCACTTGATATGTAGCGCCGCCTCTCTTAATGGGTCGAGTGATGATCATTGGCCTACAGTTGGCGATCGCCGTATGAAATATGACCAAAGGATCGCATTGGATGTGCTCTTTGTCCATGTCTTGGGCGTTGCATTTGTCCATTTGAATGCCTTTCATGACACCAAACGCCTGTCTCATGAGATCTCTCATCATTGTCTTCTCGCCCTTCAGATGCGCTTTACTTATGAACCGATTCAACAGATTATCATAAAATAGTGAACAAGAGTGCGACGATTGGCGCGCTTTGATTGGTTTGAACGCCAATTCATGCAATTCTCCCGATTCCTGCATCTCTTCCAGTCTAAGAGTCTCCAAAACCGGTTCCGCAAACTGTGGACTCCATTGAGACAAACCCACAGCACATGTCTTAATAGGCGAACCAATCTTCGCACCGCTTTTCAGCAGACAATGAATGGATCCGTAAATGAAAGCCATTTAATTGGGTTTCAAATGATTTCAATCAATGCTTTCATTCAATTCATAATTCATTAATAACTGTAAACATAAACACAAAACACACATAAATAACGACAAGTCTATTGGCTTTGCATTGAATTGTGTATTGAATGACAGCTTTTTGAACGCGTTATTCAGGTTTGAGAGTAGTGTTGCCACACATTTTTTTCGAAATTCCTTGATTTATAGAGAATTTCGATCAACTTTCCTAGATTTTCCTAAATCTTTTGGATATTTTTATCTAAATTTTTAAAGATATTGTTTAAATTCATGCGATTATCAATTTTTTTTAAATGATAGCAATACATTTACATATGAATATTAAATGCAGAAAGCTTTATACCGTATATTGAATATTACCTAGGAGTTGTTGACTTTCTGCATTCTAGTAATCATATAATACGGTTAAAATCGATTACAAACAGTGCAAAACATAGTGAAATATAGTATTAGCGAGTGTAATCAATATTAAATCAGTTTGCGTATAAATATTGTATTAGATGTCAGATTATTTTTAATAAGAAAGATAAATTATTACTTAATATTAGCTTTATTCTTTAACTATATCGGAAAACTTGTAGACTTCATTATTTAAAAAGGAATTTTCATAGATTGTGTGAACAAATTGTCCCTGGGTTTTTCAATGTCCAGTAAGTAATGAACGTCTGGTAACCCTAGTTGGGAGCAAAAGCTGAGAGATTTGTGATCCAGTGATGAGTTTTTTCACTACATATACATTGAAAGCGTGAAAAAGTTATTTGCATTTTATTATAAAAGTTGTGTTTGTATTGATTGAGCGCCAGTCGTGTCCCTGCGTTGGGAGTGTTGTGTCTATCCATTGATGAGAGTGTTGTTCCGGCCCTACAGAGCATTGGATGATCACTATTATCATCACATTTGCCATACGCTATACCTATACCTATGTATATCTAAGCCCACACTCTGTTAGTGTTTGAATCGCTGATTATAATGAACTTTCATTGAATTGAAGGCATTCGCGTAAAGCGATGGCAACACAGAGAGCAATGAACACTGAGTCTCGCTTTCAAGTGGCAAAAGTGTCCGATGAGGACAACGCCGACCACAGCGACGACACCATCCATAATATGCCCACAATTGGACACATCGGACACCACATGTCCTTTGATTACAGCAATACTTATTACGATACGAAAAATGTGAAGAGTTTAAGACATTATACGCGGGAAGCGTTGCCACGAGTGGACAACTATCGCAATGTGCTGTCAGTTCACAGACATATGACACGTCCGACTCTCGATGAACTACACGGCGTTCAGACCACTATTCATCCCGACTCTCATAAAGTAAGCCATACTTTACTATACTATTCGTTGCAAGTCTTATATCAATTCATTGACTGTAAGCAATCGTAAGAGTCTAACAGTCTTACTGTCTTAGCGTCTAATAATGACCCCGAATACAGGTTTTTAAACTTTCTCCTTACGTATTCCTCCCATTCTCTCTCTCTCTCTCTCTCTCTCTCTNTGAAAAATTAATATATTGTTGGAAAATAATAAAATTTTTAAAACATTTTTCCAAAAATGAATATATTTATCATCTAATATTACATTTGAATTGTTTGTATCGTTTTAGTTCATAATATGATTTACAATATAAACAGTTGATCTTCTTTTGATTTATATCTATACAGATAGTAATAAATATACTGATGATTAATAATACAATATATAATATAGCCTATATTATATAGGTGAATATTATCATACCAACTGTTTATAAATTTACTTAATTTATTCTCTACCTCTTTTGTTTTTATGCAATGATTGGCGACAATATTTCTCGCATATATTGAATGTTATGCACTTTTGCTATAAGTTATATAAAGTGAATCCATTTATTATATAATTTATTGAAGAGAATATTCCTAATTCTCTGTAATACCAAACACTACACAATCATTAAGAATAGTTTATATGTAACGAAAAGTTACAAAATATGTTTGTTTTAGAATATGTACAAATTATCTCTCATATGATTAGAGACTTGTTTTCTTGAAAATCTATTCATTAAAAAAGCGACGAAATTTTAAAATATTTAAAATGAAATTCAAATCAAACGAATACTCAAATAAATTGCTAAATGAATTGACATTTTATGAAACCTCAAGGAATGGTGTGTTTTGTGATAAAATGTTTTTACTGTTACAGTTATATATGCATCGAAATTATTGGACAATTTGTAAAGGAAATCAATGTTTTATAATTTATATTAAATACTTGTGTATTTGTTTGAGGCTTGTTCTTAAATATTCAATAAATTATATTATTAAAGAAGGCAAATCTGCATTTTGATCAATATATCCAATAAGTGTTTTGGAACATTTTGATTAATCATGTAATAATAATATAAACATTGCAATCTTATTATAGAATTGGCAAATTATCACTTAAATTCTATATAATATAAATATTGCATAACATGTGTATTATTGGTCGGCATTTCTCAAAATATTATTTTAACTTTTAGTAATTTACACATGAATTGCGTCTAAATATTACGCTATGAAACAGACATCGATTTTAATTAATTGAATTAAAATAAACTTCAATATACTTTACAGTATTATGAAAAGTTATTAATAAGTTAGAATATATTAACGAAAGTAATAAGTTATTAATATAATTTTAATCTTGTTTCATAACTAGAGTTATTGCTATAGAGACTATGTCATGAAAATAGACAATTAAGTTTATTAACAAATAAAAAATATTTATTTATTTTTGAAATATGCATAACACAATATAATAAGTATATTTTTAAACATTTTACAATAATATTATATATGGTTTGAAATAAACTTTTAAATAAACAACTAATAAAATAAATTAATTCAATTTGTATTGCACTTTATTTTCAATTTAATCCAATTAAACATTATTTTGCTTTTTTGCACAAAACTAACATTTCTCATAATAATTGAATTCATAGATCTATAATCAAAAGTTCAGCAAATATTGAATTATTCTTGTTTTTATAAAATAAATGTTATTTTATATAATGATTATATTATTAATAATATTTGACAAGTTTTCCAATT